CTTCACATGCGATCCTCTCACTGGTGACGAACGCAATGTTATAATAACCGGTAATTACGGTATCGGCGAGAGTGTGGTGTCGGCCGCCGCAGAACCCGACACAATCAGACTTAACGTCAACATTGAGGCCAATTCGCTGATTAACAAGAGATCAATTGCTGGTATTTTTTAAATAGATTAAAAAATAAATGAAATTCAAACTTTTAATTCATTTTTTGACAGATATTCAGAGCATAGATATTGGATCGAAATTAAAGTCAATTATATTGAATGATAACAACGAGAGCGGAACCATTGAAGTGAATACAGTGCACAGCAATGAGTGCTGTTTGACTGAATCCCAGTGCAAATCGTTGGGCGAAGTGTCGCTAGAAGTGCACCGATTTTACGGCAACCCTCGGGATATTGAATGGGGAATAATAGGCGACAAAATCTATTTGCTTCAATCGCGTCCCATAACTAATCTAAACAATTGGTCGGATTGGGAGGCAATGCATGAAATGGATTCCGGACAGCAATCGGAGAGCGAATACTACTCGAGGGCTAATTTGGGTGAATGCAAAATGTGGACCGAATACAGATCCCAGACATTGGCGTCAAAGACGTGGACTGGGAGTACACCGAAGACCACTCCAAGTGGGGCATCACCACCGACGACAAGGGCACAGCCTATACATGCATTGCAGACATTAATCGTATGAAATCTCAGTTCAAGAGAGGCGGCGGTTCCCTGTGTTTCGCTGACGAGAAAGTGTGGCACATATTCAAGAAGTCGGTCGAAGGCATCGAAGGCTGTCACGCAAAGAGCGGTTCCAGTCATAAGAAAGATTCTCACCATAAGAGCGGTTCCCACCATAAGAGCGGTTCCCACCATAAGAGCGGTTCCCACCATAAGAGCGGTTCCCACCACGAGAGAGGTTATTAGGATGAAAGTTTTGTTACTGTTGTCCATAATTTTGATTGTTTGCTATTAATTCATATGATTCTCCATTTAATTATAGCCAATATTTTGCCAACAATTCTTCCAACCATTTATTTATTTATTTTTTACAACATTTATTAATTTGTTTTTATTGTAATCATTCATTCATTTTTATTTACTATAATTGCCATATTTTTCTATAAATCCATTTAATTTTTTGACATTTATTATAAATTAAAAATTATCATTAAAAATGATTAATTAAACACAATTTTTAAAGTATTTAAAGAGTATTTTTAAGATAAGAAATACAAGATTGCATTGAATTTGCGTTTCTTTACGTTAATTAAAACTGATTTGTGATGAAAAGTGAGGCCAAGAGCTCAACGGACGACATAAGTGCCCTCTTTGGTCACAAACGGACTCTTTCGCGGCCAGAAAGTCACCCTTTGCTCAAAACGTCTGTTCGTATGACCAGAAATGGACGGCCGATAATAGGAGATGAAGGCATTGGACGCGGGGTTACGGATGACACGGGTGTTGGCTATCGAGACCTCAATGGCTTCTCTCAACTCTCTCTCGTGTCGCGCCTTAATCTTCCTCTTCATCCACTGGTCGTCCATAACTTCGCTCTTCAACTCAGTCTCCTCTGAGCAATGGCTGGCCTTCGGACTCAACGCCGGCTCACTCTTCACCACCGGTTCAACGCTAAAGAGCCGCTCCGGTCTATACACCGGTTCCACACGATATACCGGTTCAGACTTCAAGACGGGTCCAGTGGTGGCCATCGGTGTTGACGTGTATCGGAAGTGATTGACGGGCGGTGTGGCCATCGGTGTTGCCATCATTGTGTCCATCGGATTAGCCGACTGTCTTCCATAGTAATAGTAGTAGTAGTGATGGTTGGGTGAGGTATAGACGGGTGCAGTGACGTAGCCGTGACCTAAGCCACGACCATAAGTGCCAAACGAGTCCATACTTAGTGTCCGATAAACAATGGTTTATGAAATGCTATGATTTGACAAATTAATGCATTTTTGCTCACATTTACAGTTAATTTACTCGTACTATGAAATGTGAAAACATTTACAGTTTTACACAAAAACTTTTATTAGTATTTTTTAAATACTTTTTAGTTATAGAAATTCAATGATTCATTAATTTGTGATTTGTTTGTTTTAATTAAAACTTGTAATACAATATCAATTGTTAGTTTTATTTTGATAGCGATTGCATTTAACATAATATAACTGTAAGCAAAACAATCATTTAATTTACTTCACATAAGTTTATGCTTTACAAATGAATTACACGTGAAATTTAAATCTAATTAATTGTTAATTGTTGTAAAATTTTAATGACTTTTTATACTATCATCAAATTTAACGAATTTTCAATTTTGTCTTCAGTTTTAAGAAATTTTCTATTAGATAAGCGCTGAAACCGAAGAGGAATGGGTTGTTGTACTTCGAGTGCCAAAAGTAATCTAAAGCCTTTACGGATGGGATGTGCTCTACAGGTGGCGCAGACCATGAAGATGACCAGAAGTGGTCACGGAATCAATGCAAAAGTGGTCAGAAGACCAATGAGTCAGAAAGAGGCCGAGAAGATAGCCCGCGACCCCAACAGCGGCCCAGACTTTCAGGTGGTTTTCAATCCTCCGCTCAGTATTTGCAATAAATTGACAAAATATGTGTATTTGTCGGGAATCGCGGCTCTGACCAAAGAAAACCTCGAGCTTCTGGGCATCACTTTAATCATAAACGCCACTTACGAGTGGCCTAATGTCGAGCCCGAAGGCGTCACCTGTTATAGAGTTCCGGTCAGTATTTTACAGACATTTTAATGTAATTTCAGAACTAATAAATAGTTGTATTGATTATCTGAAAAGGTGGACGACTCGGAAGGAGACGACATCGGGATCTACTTTGACGACGTGTCCGATAAGATTGAGGAAAACGCTCAAAACGGAGGCAAGACTTTAGTGCACTGTATGGCCGGCGCGAGTCGATCGACAACTCTTGTATTGGCATATCTGGTAAAATACGAATCGAGGAAAACGCTCAAAACGGAGGCAAGACTTTAGTGCACTGTATGGCCGGCGCGAGTCGATCGACAACTCTTGTATTGGCATATCTGGTAAAATACGAGAGAATTGCGCTCAAGAATGCCTTCAGTTCAGTGAAGAAGCGAAGAGAGACCGCCAGACCTAACGTCGGCTTTTGGGACCAACTCATCAAATATGAGATTAAGATCAGAGGCGTTGCGTCCGTCAAAATGCTAACCAAGAAAGTGGACGGCTTTGACATTATTTATCCCGATTTCTATGAGAAGGAGTTCCAGGCGTTGAAAGACAGAGAAATTAATAAACAACTCAATGAACTGAAAGAAAAGGCCAATAATCCCGACAAAAAGTCTAAATCGCAAAAACAATACAACTCTCAGACAAACTCTTATGAATAGTATTTTGAGAAAGAGTTGTCTCCGACTTCTGTTTGATTTAAAATCCAATGAAATATAAAATAATGTCCTCTTATTTGTCTTTTCTCTGTTTTTTATTATTATTTTAATTCATTTGTAATTTTCTTTTTGATACAAATTTTTCATATAAATATTAAATTCAATTAATTGTAATTAAAATTGTTTTAAAAATTATACAATTTTGTAAATTTCTCCGATTTCTGTGTCGATTACTATTTGATCACCGGTTTTAAAGAGCCGATGAGCGCCGTCCACACCCACCAGACACGGCAACCCGTATTCCCGGGCAATGACCGCTCCGTGCGATATAAGGCCACCGATTTCTGTGGCCAAACCCGACAGCATCGGGAAGTATGGACTCCAACCGATGTCTGTGCTATACGTTATCAATATATCTCCGCTCTGTTTGTAATAATAATTATAGTTTAATTCATTTGTATGTTATCTAATGAACAAATACCCTGATATTCTGGGCCTCAGCTAAAGTCATGGCTACACAACAGCGCCCTTTAGTTTTGCCGGCACTGACTGGCGTTCCCTTAATTCTAGCCATTCCTTCGCTTAACAAATCACTTCTTGTGTCAAAATTTTCCTTAAAATTAAACGAAAACACAAATTATTGCCTAAAATATTGTCAAATAGCAAAACACTAATACATTTCTGGGCTGAATGTCGGGCCCAATAGTGGTCTCGTCATAATTCATAGTCTCCTGTATTGAATGGACTCTCTTTCTGAGTCGAGCTCTGGCTATGATTGTGGGATCCCTTTCGGCAAACAGTGAGTGCACTTCAGCCAAACTCATGTGAAAAAGTAGATCCGGTTCGGGAAGTCTGCCCTCAGAGACCATCATTTTGGCCAATCGCCAGAATCCGCGCCTAAAGATGTTGTAATTTCTGGTGATCTCGTGTTTACTCTTCTCCCGCCAACTGATGCCACTCTTACACCACGGGATCACTAAATACTTGAGCAAAAGTTTTTGCGAAAATGTGAGCTTTGTTTTCAACGAAGACAACGTCTCGTCAATTGTTTTCTCTGATTTTGTTTGCAGTGTTTGATCGCCTGATTGTTAGTGTGAGACATAATTATGGATTAAATTGTCTAAAGTATTCAGTAAATTATATACCGCTTAGCATTGTTTTAAGCGATTTAATGACTGAAATAGGATTATCTGCCCACTGAAGTGTCATTACGTCAAACTCTTTATACCCTCTGTGGCCGTAATCTAATAAAAATTGTTTGAATTTTATGGACGCCTTTGTGTCGGAATGAAGTAAATATTTGAGCGCTTTTTCATCACTCATTTGCCGGAATTGTTGCCGATTTTCGATAGAGACGGCAATATCTCTCAATAGGTTAGGCACCTGAGCGCTCACCACTTGGTTCGCACTCGAGACCAGTTGACCAAAATCTGAATAAGTGTTTGCTATGAGTGGAAAATAAAACTAATTTATTATTATTACCCAAAGAAACACTTGGGTCAACAAAATCCAAACCTTCGTTATTATCATTATTATTCTTCTTGAGTATATCGAGAAGAACCACATTATAAACCATTGAACAGATGGTAGCCTTTCCGTGAGCGTAAGCAATAGCACCGCTCAGATGTGCCGTTTTTAGCAATGCGTTGAACACATCTTTGGCGGTGAAAGTACTCTTCCCTTCAAATAAGTCCAGATTCTTGAGGTCTTTGACGGCCGCTCTGATGCTCTTTCCCGGCGTTAAGAAGTATACAAACGAACCGAAGAATAGCCACAGTTTTGTGAGTAAAGACATTGACTTTTTGGGCGCCTTTTCGTTGGAGTCGGCGATGAGATCGTTGTATTCGTCGCCGAACTCGTGTCCAAACATTCCGATTTGAATACACTTTGAAATACGAGATCTCGCGTCGCCTACGAATGGAAACGTCCCCTAAAAGTGGCATTAATTTCATTATTTAGTTATCGTTTAAATTGAAAGAAAACTCAAATATTAATACTGTTTTCAAAAGGAAAAAGTAGTGATTGTTAACAATACCACCGCCTCTATTGTAATAAACACAAAACTCTTTCTTTGGCAAATCCATCATTTTTCGCCAATACCTCTATAGATAAGAGAGTAATTGATTCATTAATAGTTTGTCATAAGTGATGGTCAATTATCTCACAAATCCATTCGCGTTCCAAACCGTCACAACCCATGAAAGGCATAAGTGAGAGGAAGCGCCGGGAAATACTTCACCCAAATTAGCCCTCGAGTAGTATTCGCTCTCCGATTGCTGTCCGGAATCCATTTCATGCATTGCCTCCCAATCCGACCAATTGTTTAGATTAGTTATGGGACGCGATTGAAGCAAATAGATTTCGTCGCCTATTATTCCCCATTCAATATCCCGAGGGTTGCCGTAAAATCGGTGCACTTCTAGCGACACTTCGCCCAATGATTTGCACTGGGATTCAGTCAAACAGCACTCATCGCTGTGCACTGTATTCACTTCAATGGTTCCGCTCTCGTTGTTATCATTTAACATAATTGACTTTAATTTCGATCCAATATCTATGCTCTGAATATCTGTTAAAAAATGAATTAAAAGTGTTAATTGAATTTAATTTTTAATTTATTTAAAAAATACCAGCAATTGATCTCTTATTAAGCAGCGAATTGGTCTCAATGTTGACGTTAAGTCTGATTGTGTCGGGTTCTGCGGCGGCCGACACCACACTCTCGCCGATACCGTAATTACCGGTTATTATAACATTGCGTTCGTCACCAGTGAGAGGATCGCATGTGAAGATGACTCCCGCCGATTGGCAATCGACCATCTCTTGTATGACAACAGCCATCGGACTATTGATTTCCTGTCCGTACCCTCTCTTATACTCTACGGCAACGAATTCAAACTGAGAAGACCAGCACTTCATCACAGCATCGCTTATATTGTCAATGCCTTTCACGCCTAATATAGTTGTCATTTGTCCGGCGGATGACATCTCTTCGGAGTCTTCGCTCAGAGCCGACGAACGGACGGCAAAACGTATTGATTCAAAATTATAGCCAAAATTTTCTATTAAATTCTCTTTAATTTTGTCTTTTAAATCTTGAGGTAATTTTTGTTTCGCAAAGTTTTCGCTCACTTTTTGACAACAGGTTTGCATTCCTTCTCTCATTTCAGACCTTTAAGAAAAATTTCACATAAATTTTTAATGAAATAGTTTGTGATGTTGACTAAATAAACAGACCATGCTACTTTTTCTAATTTGTCGAGTTCATTTTGCAGGGATTCTGAATTGTCGATCAAAGAGTTGTACGCATTTGTGGTGACAATGAGTCCATTTGGGACAACAAACTTATTGTCACAACTATTAGACAATTGGATTAGTGCTGCCAAAGAGGCGCCTTTACCTCCGCTCAGACCAACCGTCTTAGCCTTCGGGTCACTGATAGTCAAAACCAAATCCGATAATTCATTGACCGGCAGTTCTTTGTTATAAGGATTAATAACATCTTCACCATTAAATTCCTCAATAAATACAAGACATTTGCCTTTTTGTCCGTTTAGTTTCAATTCGCAAATCAATATATTATCATATCTTTCGTATGCCTTTTCGATCTCAATCTCAAAGACTCGGTTTTGTTCGCCGACTTCTAACTTGAATTTAGTGAACGATTCGCCGATCGATTCAATCTCATTGAATGGACAACTAAGCGATGAAATGGGATAAACAGTGCCAACGCCTAGGCTTACATAACCGTAACGTACCCTTAATTTAACAATATTTAATTTAAATAAAATATTTTCAACAATTTCTTTGTGGTAAATATGTGTAAAAATACTGACCGATAATTAAGTGGTGAGCGAAGAGCGCCGACATGAAAGGCAAAGCTTTTGCACGAAAAGCCATAAATTCGTGTCACTTTCCTATTGTCCCAACTGTTGACATATTGTTTGGATTTATTTCCCCATAAAAACAATTGTTTACTCAATTGTGTGTCAAACTGAACCGAACCGACCAATTGTCCCCATTGTTCGTGTCTTTCCTCTTCAATCAACTGTTTGATACCCAAAGAACTCAATTCTTTGGCGATATATTTGCGGTCGAAATCGTTTTGAAAGTCAAACACATTAGAGAGCGGACACCAGAATAACGAGAATCGCGAGAAAATCAATTCATTTGTCTCTCTATTCCTGAGATATCCGCGAAATTTGATCCGCAATTTTCTGAACGGAGCCAACACTTCAACACTTAGTCCAACGATTCTGTATTGCTTTATGTCTCCAATCGTTTCAATAGTTAACAAATCGTTTTCATTTAATTCATATATCAATTGATTTTCGTCTCGGAAAATGAGTCTAACATTTGCGCTAATTTTGTGATTCTTTTGTGGTCTCCATTTGATCTCAATTATTAAATATTGTCCCCAAGTGTTTGTACCATATATTAATAAATTCTCTGATCTATTCTGTAATATATTTTTAAAAATTAAGTTATTCCTATAATTTTAAATTTATTCTAAAACACTTTCTTATATTATTAATATATTATATTAATTATACATCAGAGTAAATAAATTTAATGCAATTTTCATGCATTATTATTGACAAACAATTTTTATGCGTTACACAGAATTTACAATAAATATATAACACATGTTTTATTAAACACATGTATGTAAAATTTGTCACTAGTTCATTTCTAAGAATTTGATAATATGTAGTATTTTAGTGGAATTAGTAACTTACTTTATTTGGACACTCGTATTGCCATTCCGGGTGTTGTGGCAGTAATCCTATGGCATAGGGGTCTCCCTCCACGTCCGGGTCGTGGATATCGAGTCGTCCCCTCTTATTGTAATCAATGGCATAAAACTTCAATATATGCGACAAATATATAAACCAATTGCCTTTAATTGATTTGTGAAAATCAATTATTTTGCTATAATATTTGCGGACAACTAATAACGATATAATTACTCCCATTATTTAACACCAAACCGA